CGGCGACGCGGGGGCGGGGCCGCGGGCGGGCTGCGATGCCGGAGACGTCCTCCATTGGCAGCTACAGTCTGCGTCACCACTTGCGCGCCGACCGACGCACCCACCACCACGTCGCGAGTGCCAACCCCGCCTTCCTAGGCGGCTTCCGGAATGAGGGGTCGCGGCCTCCATCGGAAGCGGAAGATGGGCTGTGGGTCCAAGGAGGGCCGCTGGACACTAGCCGCTGTGTCGGTTCTTGGGTCATTTGTGGGAGGTACGGGTGGTTTCGCGGAGGAAGCCAGATCGCGAAAATGTCCCTTTTTTTTCCCTTAAAAAAAAAAAAAAGACTCCGTGCGGTAGGTGTCCATGGCGGGGCAGAGTCCGTAGATCAGTCTCATCGGCGCCAGGCTCTGCCGGCTCAGACTGCAGGGGAGGAAAGCCCGGGTGCAAGCGTACTTATGCTACCAAAAGTGTTCATTTGTTCCAAAAATATTGTGCTTTCAGCTAGGGGGGGAGGAGATTGGGAGTGGATAAAATTCTACATTTACTTGGCGAATTAAGACATGACACCTTCAACTTGAGTCTCAGAATATTGAGAGTAATCATAGTTCATTATCAGTTTATCTAAGTGTTATGAAAACACAGGTCTCCTAGGGCTTACTGGTGCTCAGGACATCTGTTGAGGCGGGGTCTACCCAGAAGTCCAGCACAGGGTACTCATGGGGCACCGACATCAGCACTCTGACGTCTTCCAACTACACCTGGGACCCTTTATTCAGGTAGTGCTAAGAGAACTTTTTTAGGGCTCCAGCAGAGCTGGCAGGCAGCCCCTTCACCCCCATCGCCCTAAGCAGCTTCAGGCTTGAGGCACCGCACAGTTCAGCGCTGCCTCCACAATGGAATGTGTTGTGTGAACAGTGGGGCTGTCCCTCTTAAAAGACACGTGTGCGCCTTATCTGTGGGGGTAGATGGGGACAAGGTTATCTATCCAAAAGGAGAAAAGTTCTTTAAAAACTGGACACACTAGCCAGATACTAAGGCAGTCCGGGGCCAGGCCAAAGGGTGAGCGACTCAGCCTCTAGGAGCATGTAGTACTTTTAAGGGGGTGAACCCCACAAAGTGAAGGGGTCATATAACCTTTCCTTTCTGTGCCATGTGCATTCTCATCTAGGGAGGGGATGGGATGAGTGATGCTCTGCTCTGCTGTCATCATGCAGCCCTCGAAACCTGGGCATATTTCTAGATGTCCCCCTGTGGGGTAGGTGACTGTGGAGCAGGATGCCTCCATGTGAGCCTCCCTAGTTCTGCTACCCAAATCTAACGGGTGATCCCCAAAGGTAGGAGTGGCATCCGTGGCTTTGCTGGGAGACCAGAATTTTCACCTGGAAAGCAGTTAGGTGACTTCCTGCCACCGTAGGCCCCACCTCCCTAGCGGACACAATCTTAGGGGTGGGGCCAGGCCTTCTGGCTCATCCAGATTCCAAGAAAGGATATGTGAAGTGTTGGTTCGGCTGCAAAGACCAAATGAGAAAAGACGCCTAGGCTGGTTTGTGCAAATGGTTTTTTTTTTCTTTTTTTATTTCCACATTTATATCACAAGGTGTCCACTTACTGGACCAAATAGCAAAGTTGCCCCTTCTGCGTCCTGGGGACCCAGAAGTCTAGGTACTGTACATTCACTAAGGCTCCTTGTTTTTGCAATTCGCGTTTCTGACAGATAACCATAAGGCAAACGACTCTAAAGGAATGGTCACGAGTGTTTCCAGCCCAGACAGGCTGCCTCTGCCCAGCACAGCGCACACCCCATAGCACCCTCGGTGACTTCTCTGGGGCTTCTTTTGGGTGGGGCACTCTAGAAAGATGAGATTTTCAAGATATGTGCAGGAAGGGAGGGAAGGATGAGAAGGGAGAAAGTTGTTTGGCTGGTGTTAAGATGGAACAGTGGTAAGATGGAACAGGGGAGAAAACTAACTCTTGAAAAATTAATTTCTGCAGCATTTCCTTAGAAACAGGATTGTAACCGAAACCAGGTAAGAAGTGTGGCTGCCTTGGAAACGTGGGGTTGAACTAGTGGCTCAGGGGCTGTCCGCACCATGCCACCTGGCCCCAGGGGGCTGGAAACAAGACTCAGCAGTGGCTGGGTTGGACCCAGCACACAGCTTACAAAGGCCACGCTCCTGCCAACCTTTGCAGACACCTCAGGGCCAAATGACAACACAAACAAATGCACATAAATAAGATGTGTGCTCTTGGTTCTGTTAAAGGTAACATCTTCCACAAGTGTTCTGTGCCTGCCTGCAGCTGGGGTTCCGGGCGGGACCCGCACTCCATCTAGGTGGCTGTTGGAGTGCTCCGAACTCGCTTTGCTGTCCTTCCCGAAGTCCTTCCTATGCAAGTTTGTTAGTAAACTGGTAGCAGCATTTCACAAAAGAAGGAGAATCATGAGGGCAGAGCACAGGGGCACCCATTCCACCACCCCAGGTGCTTTCCCTGGGCCTCCACACCCACCCTCCGCCCAGTAGGCGGTCATTCCAAGCAGACATAAGGCAGAATGTTCAGGCGCCCATCATCGCCATGCGGGTCGAGTGCTATGCACTGCGTCCAATCATACCAGGTACCCTGTGTATCGTAACACCCGTTCACGCCTGGCCACTGGTGGGCCTGGATTCGCTCCAGGTCATCTTCCGTGACCTCCCGCGTGCACCCAGGCAGGTCCGCAGGTGGGCTGTGTGGCATCAGTACATGTGTCTCACGGGTGCTGTGCTGCCTGGTGCTCTCCTCCTGCCGAAGGTACTCGGACATGAAGTGGTGGGCGCCTGGTGTCTGCGCACCCGAAGACGACAGGAGGCTGCTCTGCCGGCTCAGGTAGGACTGGATCATCTCATTGCGTGATAGCTCCTTCCAGTTCGTCTGCTCGAAGGGGCTCTGCAGGCTACCCTTGGGCTCCTGCGCATCCAGCTCAGTCCGGGGTGGCTCAGGACGCACAGGGCTCTCAGCCTGCACAGGCTCCTTCTGGGTCAGGGGTTTGATCTGTCTTGTCATAGGGTCAAAGGTGAGCTTGCGCTCTTTTAACCTCACAGGCTTAACGCCTGCCTCAGCCCCCTGGCCATCCAAGTTCACTGTGTAGTCACGCGGCCGGTACCGCTTCTTCTTCCTGCTCTCTGAGCCACCTGAAGAGGCAGCATCACTGTCCGCCCTGGAGGAGTCCGGTGAGAGGCCTGCTCGTGGCAGCAGGAGCAGTGGCTCTGCCGGTGGCAGCCCTGCCTTACAGCCAGGCCCTGCCAGCCTCTGGTGACCCTCAGGCTGGTCAGGCCAGCGCCCTGGGCTTTCCGAGTTAGGTAGAAGTTCTAGCCTCCGGACAGGGGGTGTAAGGGGCTGGGCCAGAGGGAGTGGCGAGGGTGCCTGCGTAGTCTCCAGTGATGGAGGCCGTGGGGAGGGGCTGGGCACTGAGCCCTTGGGCACATATGGGTTCCGCTGCCGGACTAACGTGCCTTCATGCCGTGAGTTCCGAGGGCTGAAGGAGCAGCGAGGGGCCCCCCTGGGGTGAGGGGGCCCTGGGGTCTCATCCACCCGGTCCAGTGGCTGCAGTGAGGCAGTCTTTGCCCCCAGACCTGGGCCTGGAGAGCTAGTGTGCGGCCTCACGGCGTTGACCGGGATCCAGCTGCTGTGCTTGTCGTTCTCACCAGGCTCCAGGCGACCTTCAGGGCCCCTGTGCCCACTGCCATCCAGGGCTCCAGTGAAGCTCTCAGGGCTCCCACTGATCCCATTGGTGGGCAGTGGGGATGAGCTGAGGGCCAGGAGCTCATGGCTGACCTTGGTGGCCTTGGGTGGTGGCCCAGGATGACCAAGGTCACGTTGGTCCCCCCGGCGTTTGCGGCCCCCTGGCCTGTCCAGCCGCTGCCCGGGCAGCCTCTGGATGTCATTGCGACTTTTTAGGTCGTGGATGCTCCGGGGCCCAGAGGCTACCCCTGCCTCTGGTCGGCAGTTATGGGCACCCCCGTTGGCAGAGCCAGTGGTGCCAGGCAGTCCCCGCAGTGCCGCCTCGCCCTGGTGCACAGGCTCAATGAGCTTCTGCCAGCTCCGCAATAGCTTCTTGGCTCGTTTGGCAAGCTCCTCGTTCTTGGTCTTCTTACGGACGTCGTTGATGAGCTTCCCCAGCCGCGTCTCCTGTAACAGAGGCAGAGTGCCGTGAGAACAGGGCAGAGTTCACCCAAGAGGCGAGCTCTGTGATAACTCCACCCCTACCCTGCTTTCTGGGGCCCAAGAACCTGGGTCTCCAGCCACGCACCCCACCAAACAAGTGGGCCACCCCGGTTATGCAGCTCACATGTGCCAGGAACCACCTTGCCTGCCCATGGGGTGAAAACAAAGTCTCTGCAGGGACTCATGGGACAACTGAGTCTTGCTTAGAACATGCAGACACTGTGAGGTCTTTCACAGAGAGGGCAGTGGCTCATTCGGTTTTATGGCGGCCCATTCTGTTATGTGCTGTCAAGTCGACTGTAATTCATAGCAACTCTATGAATGACAGATCGGAACCTGACCTTGACCTGTGCCACTCTCACCAACTCTGATATACTTGAGCCCACTGTTACAGCCACCATGCGAATCTATCTTAAGAGGGGCCCTAGAACTCCACCAGAGTGGCCCCACCCAGGACAGGAACAGCACACACCTCCAGCGCCTCTTTGGTGATGGGGTATTTCTCCAGACTGGAGATGACTTCCAGCACCGCCACCATGTTCCGGATCTGCAAGACAAAAGCACAGGTCAACATCTGTCCTGCTCCTCATGCTCCCACCTGCCCAAGGACCCCCTTTCCCAGCTCCTTTTAGCATTTGGTTTATCATGACTCGGACACAACCCCACTTGTCATCTGATTTGGGGCAAGGAGATCAAAGGATTTATCAAGTAAAAATCTCAAAGCCTAAGGAAAATGACTGATCTCACTGCCATCAGAACTGATTCACAGCTGACCGCTCCGACAGTTCCAAAGAGGGAGAGCAGCTGGTGGACTCTAATTACCCACTTTGGTTTCGCAGCCAACCCTTTACTCCACAGGCCACCAGAATTTCCTTAAAATGTTTAATAACACAAGAAACTGATCAGTGTGATTACATGGAAATGGAGGTCTTCCGAAGAGACCACAGGAACACGAAGAGATGAACTCTGAGGAAAAGAGCACCAATTATAGGAATTTCCCAGAGAGGCAGGTCTGCAAAGATAGATGAGAAGTCTACAGGGGTTTTGAGTAGGAAGGAAGAGGCCAGAGTTTCTCCTTGAGGTGAAAGAACATTCTAAAACTAGATCATGGTGGTGACAGCTGCATAACACTGTACAGGATTAAAAACCACTGACGTGTACTTTTATATGAAAAAAATATTTCTTTTTCATTTTAATTAGTAGTTTCTTTTCAGTGAGAATATGCACACCACAACCCACTCTCCACAGTTTCTAGCAAAATGACCAGGGACACTGATTACATTCTTCACACTGTGTCAACATCGTTTATTATTTCTATTCTCATTCAACTTCCATTAGCTTGTCTCAAAACATTTTTAAAAACAGGACCAAAATACTTCCACATGAATAAATGGAAGTAATCAGAAAACTAGAAATGAAGATCATGAACCATAGACAGAAACCTAGCAGAGCAGCAGCTGGTATACCTGGGGTGGGGTGGGATGACCTGGGGAAGTCAGGCATGAAGGGATCCAGCAAGTCCTCCCCATGCCGTACCATGTGCAAGTCCTGTTTTAAGTAAAAATCCTCCAGTCATTACCCATGAGATAAGTGTTATTATGATCATCTTCATCCTTTGTGCAGATGATGGACTGTCCCCTCCAGTGACCCCATTCAAGGTCAGGACCTCACCCTGAGAAGACCCATGGCAGCATGGCTACAGGTGTCATAACAGAGTCAGCAAGAGTCGAAGCACTCGACCAGGATCCTCCAGAGGAACCCACACAGCAATGAGAGCCGCATTAACAAGTCCCTAAAATACACTGATTCCAGTTACATTAAACACCCAACACGAATTAGAGCTCAAAATTTGGAAGTTAAGCTTCTCAGAAGAAACAGCAGCATCCTTGAAGTACAAAGACTTCTAACTTAGGAGTCCCAAAGCACCAACTACTGGAAATGAAAATATTTTACCAACTGGCTTAAGTTCTGCTAAGTAAAAAACCAGTTAGCAAGTCTTCATAGTTGTCGAGTTGAAACTGATTCCTAGAAGAACCTCATGAGGCTGTAAGTCACATGAGAGGAGAATGTCCATGTCTTTCCTGAGAAGCCACTCCAAATTTTAAGAGAAGTGCTACTTTTAGGATAGCATCACAGCTCCCTATCCACTGGGCCACCAGGCTTCATAGCAAGTAGGTAAGCCATCATAAACCATGGGAAAAATGCTGACAAAACAAGTACCCAGTGAAAGGCTTGGATCCACAATATATAAAGAGCTCCTACAGCTCGATGAAACAGCATACAGATTGAATAGGTATGGAGAGAGAATAAAACCCTGATGCATTCATTTCTTCTTCTTCTTTTTTTTTTTTTTTAATTTTTGTGTGTGCATGTACCGTCAAATCAGATCTGACTGGTACAGGAGGAGATTGTCCCTCCTTCCCCAGCAGAGCATCTGGTGGGTTTGAACCACGTGCCTCTGAGATTGTGATGCATTCACTTCTCAATTTTAAACCCTGCTCTGTTCGGAAAATAGCTTCCTGGCCCAAATATAGGTTCAATATGAGGATTCCCACTCTTTTCAAATGTCAGCCACAGCTTATTATGATCCACACAGTCAACTGCCTTTGCATAGTCAATATTAAGCACAAATAAACAATCTTCTGGTATTTCTTACTTTCAGCCAGGATCGATCTGACATCTGCAATGATATCCTTGGTTCTACAGGCTCCTCTAAATCCTGCTTGAACATTTGGCAGTTCCCCATCTATGTGCTGTTCTAGCAGATTTTGAATGGTCTTCAGCAGTATTTTACTTGCGTGTAATACTAAGGATATTGTTTTGATAATTTCCACATTCCCTTTCTTGGGAATGGGAACAAATATGGACCTCTTCCAATCAAGCTGGCCAGACAGCTGTCCCCCCAATTTCCTGGCACAGACTGGTGAATGCATCCAAGGCTGCATCTGTTAACGGAAATAAGTTAACTGGTATCCCATCAAATTTTAGGGCCTTATTTTTTGCCAATGCCTTCAATGCAGCTTCTACTTCCTCCTTCATTGCCACTGGCTCCTGTTGACATGGTACTTCCTGAAATTTTTCAGTGTAAATCAATTCTTTCTGGTATAGTGATTCTGTGTATTCTCCAAGAAGCTGGACTTTATTGAGAGGAGTGTGGCAGCAGGATTGGAGGGAGACTCATCAATAACCTGCATTAGGCAGATGACACAACCTTGCTTGCTGAAAGTGAGGAGGACTTGAAGCGCTTGTTGCAAAAGATCAAGGAATGCAGATTTCGCTATGGATTGCACCTCATGTCAAGAAAACAAAGTTTCTTACCATTACAGGCAGTGTCATGATGGTTGAAGGGTGAAATTGCCAACAGCTTCATCTTGCTTGGATCCACAATTTATACCCCTGGTGCCAGCAATCAGGAAATAAGGAGAGCATTGCACTGGGAAAATCTGCAGTTAGAGACCTCTCTAAATTATTGATGAGTAATGATGGCAGTTTGAGGACTAAAGTATATCTAATTCAGGCCATAGTCTTTCTAGTCATTTGCTATACATCTGTGAGCTAGGCAGTGAATAAGGATGACGGAAGAAGAACTGACACCTTTGAGCTGTGATAAGAGCTCCCATAGACAGCCAAGAGAACAAACAGGTAGGTTTTGGAGATAGTATAGCTGAAGTGCTTTTTGGAGATAAGAACGATGAGGTTTCACCTCAAAAACTTTGGGCATGTTGCTAGGAGGGGATGGTTATGCCTTGGAGAAAGACATGATGCTGGGAAGGGTGGAGGGTTGGTGAAGGAGGCAGACCCTCAACCAAGTAGACTGGCACAGTGACTGCTGCAATGGGCTCTTGTGTGTGAGGATGTTGAGGACGGTGCAGGATAGAGCAGGGTTCAGATCTTTTGTTCACAGGGTTGCTATGAGTCATGCTTGACAACACCTAACAGCAGCAGCAGCAGCTCAATGACTTTTCTGGCAGGTGTAGCCTTTTGGGGCTTATGCCAGGGACAAAGAGGCCTTATTGAGGGGTGGGGCAGATCCATGGACATGTGCGGCCTCAGTTTGGTTGCTGTGACTTGCACGGAGTACAACTTTACCCCCACCCCTCTGCACAAACATCCAAATTTTCTTCCAGCAGTATATGAAACAAATAAGTGACATCAAAGAACACTCACAACCTGTGGCATTTGCCTGTGTTTTTGGAAGCATTTCTTGTAAATACCAGTATATGTGTATACCCTTAGCCCATCCATTAAACCAAGGGAGGGATGAGCTCAGCTTCCGCCCCCCCCCTTTTGTCGTATACCATTGAATCGGATCCGACTGGCACAAGAGGGGATTAGCCTTCCTTCTCCGGCAGAGCATCTGGTGGATTCGAATCTCGTGCCTTCAAGATTGCAGTGCAGCTTCTTGCCACTAGGCCACCAGAGCTCTTCTGAGCTCAGCTTTTGAGGGTTACTGTATTCCTCAGCCTGGTCTGTTCTCCATCTTCAATCTAGGATGATCCTGACTCTTCTCCCCATCTCAAGCCACAGCTTCTTGCCACAGAAGGAGCCATATGCCTGGCAAATACGCCTTGATGGGCAGTGAGCAGGCAGGTCCTGAGGCAGCAAGGTCAGCCCTTTTTCCCAGGTCTGGCACCAACAGGTCCCACCCTGGTTGGTATCGTGGGTATATTTAAAGCTAGGTCCTGGAACTGACCCGCCCAGGAGCAGCCAGTCAGATGCACAGTGTCTGTGACTGGATGCCCTCCTGCTGCCAGACATCAAGAAACGAGAATACCTAGGAGCTGTGGCCAGGTGCCACATGCTCTTGTGCCCCTGAGTTCAGGCACAGCAGAGGCCTTCAGCTCTTAGGAGGGATAAATCTGAATGCCCAGGAGGTCTGGATCAACTGGGCTGATCCCTCATAGCCTTTATGTTGGCCAGGAAGGCCTGGGACAGACATCCTGCCTTCCCTTATTGAATGATGGCTAAGGCTGGTGCCCTGGGAAGGGTCTGTCCTGAAGCTCCCTGCTCACCCAACCCCCCAACCCTCAGTGCCTCCAGATGATGCAAGCTTGGCAGAGAAGCCCCCTCTAAAGGCTTCTAGACCAAGTGAAGTTGGGACCCAGGGGATCAAAATAAGGTGGGCCCTTGCCTCCATCACCTTCATCAGAGGGCTCTCAATTGGGGCAGAAGATAAGACTAAGAGCAGAATAGGGAAGTTGTGAAGAATAAAAAAATTTGGCTGAAAGAAAGGGGACAGAATCTGAGGGATGGAGAGAGGGACACATGAGCCTCCAAGTACGGAAGTGGACAAGGTGGTAAAACAAAAGTAGGGAGGCAGCACATCACCCTCCCTGAGCCCCACACAACATGGTCTCTGCTGACCCTCCTCCAAGTTTTGTGACAGTGTGGCTTGTGAGGGGAAGGTGGTCTCTGCCCACCCTCATCTCTGGTCTATGAAGGTGTAGCATGTAAAGGAAAGTGCCTGAGTTGTTTTGATGCCCTGGTCAGACATTTTCCCTAGAGTTCTCCCCTGGCACACAGTCTCAAAAGAAACCCCTAGAACCT